GGAAGCATCGTAGAGGCACGCATTGGATTAAACTTGGGGATGTTTATAACTGATAGCAAATGTAGCATGAATCATACAAAAATTATTGATATGTTTGAGACATATCAAATCCCCAAGTTTAATCCACTGCGTGCCTCTACGGCGCTTCCAGCATCACGTCGCATTGTTGGCTTATAATGGATCAGTTACCAACATATTAATCCAGTGCCCAGTTCTAGTTCTAGTTTTTGTTCACGAAGACTCTGGGCGTGCCTTTTATTGTGTGTTTTTGTCCGAGGAAAGGAACACCGGTTAAGAAAATTTGATTGATGAAACCGTCCTATGCCAAAGGAATGGACACATTTTGGAGGCGGGTGAGGGCAAAGGGGCACGCACGATTTTGAGAAGACCAGAATTCAGGTAAGACCAGAATTCAGGTAAGACCAGAATTCAGGTACGCTTCCCGAAACAAATAGACGAAGCATGGTGCCAACTTTCTTAACTTCAAGATCAAATTGTTCTGAATCATGCTGCCAACTTTCTTGGATGCATCAACTTCAAGATCAACACGTGCACACATGGAACTTCATAATGATCATGCGAGTATTTTTACTCGCTAAGCAGGCTGGAGGCCGGTCGAGAGGAAAGGGAACACTTAACGTTTTAAGTAGTATATATAGAGAGAAGGGAGATTTTCAAGTTGTGGGCGGGTGTAATTGACAGATATTTGGCACATCTTGCAGTTCAGGCAGCAACCGCACGACAAAAAATGATGTTCAATCTCAAACTTCTAACTCTAAAATATATGATCCAGAACATGCATCATTTACTCTAATAGATATAGATATTCATCAGAACATGCATCATTTACTCTAATAAATATAGATAGTCATCAGCACATCATCTACATAACATCATCAATGCAACTTGGATCATCATCTTGAGCAATCGTCATCTTCGATACGAGCGTCACCAAAGTGCTCAACAACAGTCACCAGATTCCAGGTCTTCACCTCACACACTTGAGCTTACGGTTCTTTGAAAGAAACCCTGCACGCTTATGCTTCTTTGAAAGAGTTGTAACCTTGTCGTTTTCCGATGTCATCCCTTTGAAAACAGAAATAAAAAAAACAAGTCCAGGTGATAAACATCTGAACATCTTGCGAGCAGCATTGACAGATAAGATGAACTGCACTTCAAAAAAAAATGCTGTGCACAACAATAGTTCAAACAAGAAAGAGAAATGACATCGCATTGGGATATATTGATAAACAATAGTCCAGGTTGCACAAGAATGAAAGCAGCAGATTCGAGAAAAATCAAGTCCTGACAAACAGTCCAGGTGCAAGGAAGTCGGGCAATCAAGAGAAAGATAGTCACATGAGAAGGATAACAACGCTAATACTACAGGAGTTCTACGTAATGGCATTCCCATGGAGGTGGAATGGCTTTTCACTGGCCCAGTATCTGCTTACACGATATAGAAAGATATTTGATCTCACATGAGAAGGATAAATAAAAAGTACACACTCTCTGAAACAACAGGATGGTTTCTAACAGAAACACCCAAAAGATATCGTGACCTGATTGACCTAAAGTAACCAAACGAAACACATTCGAAAACTTCAAGAAACAGAGAAAAAAAATGTGTTATACATATATCATCTAAAGTTACAAGACATTTGCTCCGGGTTGTAAACTAGAGGGCCATCCAGTTTTATTATGCTTACAAGAGCAACCACAATAGTGGCTACCTAGAATTCACTTCAAAATAGCACACCAGACTAGCAGCAACATAAGGCTGCCCAATGCATCAATTATATGAACAGACAATGGATAATGGATACTTCCCATAATAAAGAGCAAACGATCCAACAAGTAAATATAGAGGATTCTCTCGGCTCTCAAGGACAACCTGATGGAAGAATAAGGCTAATACTACAGGAGCTTTACCTAATGGCACTCCCATGCAGGGAGAATGGCGTTCACGATCTAAGAAGCACACACTCTGAAACAAAACGATTCTAACAGAGATATCCAAAAGAAGTGACCTGATGATTGACCCAAAGTAACCCAACAAAACACATTCTAAAACATTATACAACAGAAAAAAAAATGTGTTAGAAGGTTCATACATATATCATCTAAAGTTACAAGACATTTGCTCCGGGTTGTAAACTAGAGGGCCATCCAGTTCTATTATGCTTACAAGAGCAACCACAATAGTGTGGCTACCTAGAATTCACTTCAAAATAGCACACCAGACTAGCAGCAACATAAGGCTGCCCAATGAATCAATTATATGAACAGACAATGGATAATGGATACTTCCCATAATAAAGAGCAAAAGATCCAACAAGTAAATATAGAGGATTCTCTCGGCTCTCAAGGACAACTTGATGGCAGAATAAGGGTAATACCACGGGAACTGTACCTAATGGCAATCCCATGCAGGGAGAATGGCTTTTCACTGCCCAATATCCAATTACACGATCTAAGAAGTACGCACTCTCTGAAACAAAAGGATTCTAAGAGAGATATCCAAAAGAAGTGGCCCGATTGACCTAAAGTAACCCAACAAAACACATTCTAAAACTTTTACCAGCAGAAAAATATGTGTACAAGACGTTTGCTCCGATGTAGAAAATAAGAGAAACATCCAGTTGTATGCTTTACAAGAGCAACCAAAATAGTGTGGCTCCTAAAAGTTCACTTCAAAATAGCACACCAGACTAGTAGCAACAGGAGGGTGCCCAATCCCCAATGAATCAACTATACATGCAGACGATGGATATAGTCCCATAAATGAAGAACAAAAAGATCCAACATGGTGAAATAGAGGATTCTAGGCCCTCGAAGGACAACTTGATGGCAGAAGGACCAAAGTTTATTGTTGATATATACAGTGTAGTAGTGCACCTACACAACTGGAGCTCCTAAAACTAACACTTGGGAACAGCCTACAAGAAGATTCATGGCAACAGTATATTAAATGCTTCAATTGATTAAGATATACTATAACACAGCGACACTGGAGGTCCGTGATTCAACCAAGGAAGGCAGCAAAATGGAATTTTCAAGACAGGAGTAACGCAACAGAGGATAACATACGGCAAACAACGCTTGGTTAGTAGAGTGGTATGGGTCTACAAAGTCGTTGCACAGAAGGGGGGCGGGGGGACACTTAGAGCGGGCAGCATACAGTAGCTATTAAAACAGAGTTCAATTACCATTGAGAATCCTACAGCCAATGCAACCGGGCAGCGTATGTATTGCATCATAGGTAAAAGAGACGAGCAAAAACACGAGCGTTAAGAGTAGCATATCCAACAGAAAGCTAAGCAAAGGCAGCCATTTTACGTAATAGGTAAGAAAATACATAAAAGGGACATCATAGCATTCTGAATATTAAGAGAGATTCTGTTAGTTACCTGCTGGCCTTTCAAGGTATTTGCAGAAAACGGTTGGAAGTAGGGGGACAGTATGAAACTGGGCATGGTGAGCTTTCGCATCCGCAGACTCAGACTCAGGAGTGCATGACCGCACACATGCATGGCCGTCAACATAAGGTGCAGCACAGAACATACGGGTCATCGGCGCTAATGATTGGGAACTCAGGAAGGCGTTGATGTATACCCAGAGCTCGGTAAGCAGGTTGCCCCCAGAGACGATGCAGGCTAATATCATGATGTAGGTCCCACTCGAACTTGGAGTTCAAAGTCCAAATGGTGATTTTCTGGGGAGGCTGATGCTGCTCATGGCTTTTTCTCTCAGGAAGCTAAATCCATTGGCTGGGATCATGGAGTCGGTCATGGAAGTCATTGTCAATGTGGACAAAGCGCATCTTGCCTTGGCTGATGGACACACTTCGGAATCTCTCGGGTAAGTAATTTTCAACCCTTACCTTATCATGGTACTCTTTTTCTCCGGGGAAAGGTACGAAGCGGAGCACCGGTGAGTCTGTCATGGAGAAGTCACATAGCAGGACACCGCTGAAGTAGTCAATCCAGCAAAGGAAACGACCAGCAAAAGCAAACACATGGTGGGTTGACCAGAGGTTGGTGAACTGGCCGCCATTGATGTGGTCGTCGAAAGCGATCTTGGGGGTGATTTCCCACTTATTGAGGTAGGAGTCGAAGACGCAGAGTTCAGCACGCAAGCCCGCTTCTTCAGAGTAGACATTGAGGTCGGCGACGATGTAGCGGTCCTCCGCTTTGAGCCGCAGGATGCCTGTGGCAAGGTTATCCATCAGGAACGGCTTTTTCCCGCGCTCAGTGCACGGAGGGAGCCGCTGCACCGAGGGGGAAGAGCCGGCGGCCGTGTAGACGAACAGATCTGGCGGGACGAGGTAGCTGTCAGTCTGGGCCGGGGTGGAGATGTCGAAGAGGATGAGTTCCTTGTCGGCTGCCCGGACGGAGGGATAGGCTGGCGGGATGGCTGCGTCTTGTCCCTCCGGCCAGTGGAGGTTGAGGTAGGAGACCCCTTTTCGAGGAGCCGCGAGGGTGAAGGACACGTAGCAGAAGGGGCCGCCGGCCATGTGGAGCAGAGCGGCGGTCTTGTTCTTGTTGAGAGCCACACGAGCAGCGCCTAGGCTGTTGTGGCAGCGCGTGCGGCCGATGCGACCCAGCATCACCCAATCGGGATTGGGGAGGACGCCGGTCCCCTCCTCCGGCTGCGGCTCGCCTTCGGTGGGCATGGCGATCGGGATCGGAGGGAAAAAGCGGCCGCCGCCACCCAAACCCTAACCCTACGCTTTTGGTGGGGGAACTGATGGACGGGAAGGAACGAAGGGCGACAGACTCAGGTTACCACACTATATAGCAGGAGGGCCGTCGATCTCGTTGGGCCAGCAAACTAGTCGCGCAAGCGAACAAAGTGGTCACTCTATGTTTTTTTTTATAACAATAGTATAGAGTAAAACCGAAGCCAAAAACCAATTTTATGATTTTTGGCTTTCGGTACCGTATGGGATTCTAATTTTTTTTTGAATTTCAGTTTTTTTTCAAGGGTAAAGGGAGTTTTTATTGCATAATCATAGAGTTACGGTCGAGAGGCCATACATCCTCAATACAAGGAGGGATCGAGCCTAGCCACACAGCAGTAGCACGCTCCGAACGACTATAGTTTGCCAGCCGATCGGCAACTCTATTCTGCGCACGACTAAGTTTCTGAGGAATAAACTCCCTAGTACCAGATAAGTGTTTGATCTCCATCACTAAATGGCCATAAGCAGACCGTTGGAGGGCATCCGTAGCCAGACATGATAGAGCTTCGGAAGAGTCCGATTGAAGAATCACCGGGGCCTCTGAGTGCACAATGGCCAACGTCATGCCCTGCATCATCGCATGTAGTTCCGCCTCCAACGGGTCATTACAATGAAAAACATATCTGTAAGCTGCAAAAAGGATGACCCCTTCATGGTTCCTAAGTGTCATCCCCACCGCCGTCGAGCCGTCCTCGGCCTGGAAGGAGCCATCGACGGACAGGGCCACAGTCCCACTCGGTGGTGCCGGCCATGGCAGGTCACCGGCCCTAACCTTTTGGCGTGGTTCCACCGGGGCTTCCGAGGGCATCTTTCCTTTGACAATCTCCTCCACAGTAAATTTGCCAGCCAAGTTGATAGATTTATAGTAGCTGTCCAAGAATTCAACGGAGGCCATCACTGGGGTGCTTCCTTACCATGATATACATCATTACGGATCTGCCAAATCCTCCAAATCAACAAGATTACCATGTTGAATTCTTGGACAGATGGCCCTGCCCCTGGCGCTGTCCGCGTCTCGACTCCCTCTGCCTTCCTGCCGCCGCCGGCCCTGCCCCCGCCGGCCCTGCCCCGGGCTGCCGTGCATGCCACTGCCCTACTGGCCGCCTCCGCTGGGGCCCCTCAATGGCTGCCGCACCGCGGCCGTCCGTTGGTGGCCTCGCCCCGCTCCCCCCTGGTCGGGCTCGCCCCCTCCCACTCGGGCGACGCCCATGACCCAGCACCCGACGCCCGTTAAGGCCCCTGGCCAATGACAAACGGGGCCCAGCCCCAGAATGTTTTATTAAAAGAAAGAATTAGTAATAAAAATAATAAATAAAATATTAATTAATTAATTAAAGAATTAATTAACTTAATTAATAATAATTAGATTAATCTAAGCACGAATTAACCTAATTAATTGTTAGTTAATTAATCAGTCAATGACATGCGGGGCCCTCACATCAGTTTGACCCAGTCAACGCCCTGTTGACTGCTGACGTCATGATGACATCAGCATACACTATTCTGGATAATGTTGATTTAAAATAATTAAATAAATTCTAAAATTGATTAAATCTTTTAAAAATTAATATAAAATAAACTGTAGCTTGGATGGAAAAACTTTGTACATGAAAGTTGCTCAGAACGACGAGATGATTCCGGATATGCAGCCCGTTTGACTACCACACATCCCTAGCATAGCAAACTCGCAACTTTCCCCCTCCGGTTCATCTGTCCGAAAACGCGAAACACCGGGGATACTTTCCCGGATGTTTCTCCCCTTCGTCGGTACCACCGACTACCGCGTTAGGACACACCGAACACCGCGTATTGCCTTGTTACGCTTTGTGATGCTTTGTTTGCTTTGTTATTTATTGTGTTCCTCTCCGTTACTTCTTTCCGATAGACCCCAAGTCTGCCGGCGACCCCCAGTTTGACTACGGTGTTGGCGACTCGTCCTTCTTGCCAGAGCAACCAGACCAGCCCCCCCCCCTGATCACCAGATATCGCCTATTCTTCTCTATACTGCTTGCATTAGAGTAGTGTAGCGTGTTACTGTTCGATTAGTCCTATTCTGTTGCATAGCCTGTCATTGTTGCTACAGTCATTGATACCTTACCCGCAATCCTATATGCTTAGTATAGGATGCTAGTTTATCATCGTTGGCTCTACATTCTTGTCAGTCTGCCTTGCTATACTATTGGGCTGTGATCACTTGGGAGGTGATCATGGGTATATACTATTCATATATACATACTATACAGAAGGTGACTAAAGTCGGGTCAGCTCGTTGAGTACCCGCAAGTGATTCCGATGTGGGGGCTGAAAGGACAGGTGGCTCCATCCCGGTAGAGGTGGGCCTGGGTTCCTGAAGGCCCCCAACTATTCCTTTGTGGCGGAGCGGCAGGGCAGGTTGAGACCACCTAGGAGAGAGGTGGGCCTGGCCCTGGTCAGCGTCCGTGGTTACTTCATAATAACACGCTTAACGAGATCTTGGTATTTGATCTGAGTCTGGCCACTGGCCTATACGCACTAACCAACTACGCGGGAAAGATATGGGCACTCGACGTCGTGGTATCAGCCGAAGCCTTCTTGACGTCAGCGACGGAGCGGCGCGCGCCGGATTGGACTGGAACGCCTACTCTTGTATAAGGGAGGCTAGGTCTGCTTCCGGCTGCCCTCGCAATGTGCAGGTGTGCAATGGGCGATGGGCCCAGACCCCTGCACGCATAGGATTTAGACCGGCGTGTTGACCTCTCTGTTGTGCCTAGGTGGGGCTGCGACGTGTTGATCTTCCGAGGCCGGGCATGACCCAGGAAAGTGTGTCCGGCCAAATGGGAACGAGCGTGTTGGGTTATGTGGTGCACCCCTGCAGGGAAGTTTATCTATTCGAATAGCCGTGTCCCTCGATAAAAGGACGACCCGGAGTTGTACCTTGACCTTATGACAAATAGAACCGGATACTTAATAAAACACACCCTTCCAAGTTCCACAGACAACCCGGTGATCGCTTTTCCACAGGGCGATGAGGGAAGGATCGCCGGGTAGGATTATGCTATGTGATGCTACTTGGAGGACTTCAATCTACTCTCTTCTACATGCTGCAAGACGGAGGCTACCAGAAGCGTAGTCTTCGACAGGATTAGCTATCCCCCTCTTATTCTGGCATTCTGCAGTTCACTCCACCGATATGGCCCTTTACACATATACCCATGCATATGTAGTGTAGCTCCATGCTTGCGAGTACTTTGGATGAGTACTCACGGTTGCTTTTCTCCCTCTTTTCCCCCTTTCCCTTCTACCTGGTTGTTGCAACCAGATGCTGGAGCCCAGGAGCCAGACGTCACCGTCGACAACGACTCCTACTACATTGGAGGTGCCTACTGCTACGTGCAGGCTGCTGACGACGACCAGGAGTAGTTAGGAGGATCCCAGGCAGGAGGCATGCGCCTCTTTCGATCTGTATCCCAGTTTGTGATAGCCATCTTATGGCAACTTGTTTAACTTATGTCTGTACTTAGATATTGTTGCTTCCGCTGACTCGTCTATGATCGAGCACTTGTATTCGAGCCCTCGAGGCCCCTGGCTTGTATTATGATGCTTGTATGGCTTATTTTATTTTTAGAGTTGTGTTGTGATATCTTCCCGTGAGTCCCTGATCTTGATCGTACACGTTTGCATGTATGATTAGTGTACGATTGAATCGGGGGCGTCACAGGGGCTAATGTTGATTGCTTCTTAAACTGATATTTTAAAGTCCCAAGGCTCAATACAAGTGTTAATCTTGACACTTGGGGGCTAATGCCTAATTGATCAGATCAACCGGATGATAAGGAATTCCACAAAGTTAAACTTTTCGACAGAAAGACCCAGTTCATCTTGCAGAGGTCAACCGGCCCTTGGGGGATACACAGTTGCAGTTTCTTTTATCAAAGTCCCGGTCCATCTTGAAGAGATAAACCGGCCCTTGGGGGCTACAATGGGATTGATATAAAGCACAAAGAAAGATTTATAGAAGTTACCTCATAGCATTCTTTCATCAAGTTGACTAAACCTCCCTCATAATCTCGACTTGAATACAGGCGGTTTAGATATCCAGAATGGAGCTCCTGAGCACTAAGATGAGCGCAGTTTGACAAATCAGTATTCCATTTGCCTTTTTCCACAGCAGCAGACTCCACTTTGGCACTATGCTTTGACAAAGCGACAGGGTTGCCAGGGGAAGTGTGGCCAAAACCAGTGATTACTACATCATCAGTCTTGCCATCAAAAATGTCATCTGTGTTGGACGGTTTGGCAGTGGCTCTTGCTGGGCTTGGAGGGTTCGCAGCTGGACTTGGTGGATTGGCAGCTGGGCTTGGCGGATCAACATGAGGACTGGCCGGATTAACTTCTCGTAGATCAACATAAGTGTCCTAACCTTGTGGCACAGGATCATCCATAGCAATATCAGTATCTCCACCAGCGCCTTCTGAGATCCTCTCCGGTTCAAACTCCTCAGTGGGGAATATTCAGTTTTGCTTTTTTGCTAAGTCGGGCTTTGGCACTGCAAATAGCAAACAGAGGTTAATATGGTAAACTAGTGCAAGAAATTAAAGCTAGAGTTATCATACTCACCCAGGGACGGTCTTGAGTGGAGGCATCTGGGTGGTTGATGAATCGCCAGAAGATGAATTGGAAGTTACCTGATAATTCGAGTCAGACGGATTAAGAGAATATCGGAAGTAACCCGCCAAGGGATAAGATTTGTTAGAATTACAAGAAACCTCTGCACGATGCTTCTGGATTGGGGTGTCTGGTAAACCGGAGGAAGTGACTTGCTGGCCACTGTGCCGGGTTGTGCGACAAGCTTCATGTTGCTATGTCTTCAAAGAAACATATGGATCCAAATGAGCAAGAGGATGTGAGCGTTTCACTTTCCGGACTGCGCGGTGAAGTTTTTGTATTGGCACATGATTTGAATCGGAGGAAAGGGAGATTACCTCTACATGGTTAGCGCGGCTGGCTTCCGCATCGTCCTGATAATGATCATTGTCAATAAGATGCATGAAAAATGAACCAAGGGAGTCAAGTTCTACCTCTGGTTCTGAATCATCAACATCTTAGGGCGGATCAAAGGACTCGGCGGTTCTCTTTTTAGCAGGCTTCTTGATGACCTTGGACTTAGCCCGAGGTGCTATCATCGGTTTGTCTGTTGGTTTGGTCGGTTTGTCCTGCGATTACCTCTTCCAAAACGGATCATTACTCTGCAAAGATAAACCGAAAGGCTATCAGCAAGTGTCAAAGAGGGCGGATTAAAACAGAAAAAGGCAGTTCTTACAGCTGGCGGTTTGTTGAGAGCACAGAACGGATGAAGCCCAGTTTTGCTGCATTCAGCTACCGGTTCATCCAGCATCTTCTTAACGCATTCAGTAATCTCGACATCAGTCAATTGAATGTCAATATAACATTGAGGGTCTTTCACATCTCCTGTGTACTTGCACATTAAACCGGAACGACGGCTCAAAGGCAAGATACTCCATGAAACCCAGCAACGGACAAGGTCAATACCGGTGAAACCATTTGCCATAAGAGCCTAGAGCTTAGCAAGATGTGGTG